AAAAGTATTTTATATGAATATTTGTAAGTTTGATGAAACCTTTTATAAAACTATATAAAATCCTCCATGTTTCTCATCAAATTAGAGTATTTAGAGAATATTTTTTTAAATTTTTTAATAAAATTTTGACTAAGATTTTTATAAAATTATTTTTCATCGTTCTTCACTTCTACAGCTGAATCCTTTTTAGGATGTGTCAGGAGCTGGAGTCAATCTGATCATTCGCTGGGGCAAAGTTGTGATACATTCTGGCCTGTTCACCAGTCCATCACCAGGCCTCGTATAAAGACAAACAACCATAACCATTCACAGACACAGTCACACCTGCGGTTAATTTAGTGAGCGCCAACAGTGTAACAGTTAGCAATGGTTGCCTCGCAAGCAAAGAGCAGAGTCCTATGTTCGATTCCCTGAGGGACCACCTTAGGACAGCTGTCCCAATTGTAAATCGCTTCAGAGAAAAGTGTCTACTAATCCTTAAAATGAAAAAAAGAGAAAGAAAATAAAATAAAATAAAAAGCAAATGACTCATGTAACAGCAATAACGTCATTAAGAAAACAACAAATCCACTTAGCACAATTCAGCCCAAGGTGCAGCAAACACCAAAGCTTCAATGAAAACAATTATTTTGTTACGTCACTTTTTGTCCCGTTTCTTTCATTGAAACACTACAGCTGTGTAAAGCCGCAGTCAAACTCATTGTATGTGATCATACTGATTCTGATAATAAAATGACAATAACAATAAAAAAAAGACAGAGTGCTTTTTACTCACCCGCTGACTGTTTGTCCTTCGACGCCAACCTCCTTTCGGATCCTACGAACTGTCAGTTTTTCTGTTGTACAATCACCGTGTGGAGCGACGGTTCTCTGCGCATTTGTTCCTTCCGCTGCATAAGATCCACTCTGGTGGATGTAAGTGTATGGCAGTGGTTTCGGGTTTCTCTGCTGTCTTGGTTTGAGAACTGAAGTTTGCCAACCAAGTGTGGCGACGAGTCGTTGCAAATAGCATGCAGTCCCAGCAATAGTTTGGAGTTCTTTTTCGAGCCTTTGAGCCAACGGTCCGCTGCTACCTGAAATTTACTTTGAAAATTGTCAACAAAACCTTTTCAAGGTTGTGACTTGTCAACTTCCGGATTGGTCCACCTTTCCTAACAAGGTTCAGTTTTCTAGAAAAGTCCGTCATGAAAATTGTTTCTTAAGTAAATCTGCAACCCCAATCAACTATTCTCTATATACAATTTGATTATAAGGAAATAAATAGTCATGATTCCTAAACTTAATAGATTTGCTAATTTTTGAATAACAATTAGCTACACTGGAATTTACTTGCAGTAAAAAGTTCGGTTGTTGGCACTTCTTATTCTCTCTTTAATTTTTGAGTAAATAATGAATGTTGATGTCTTAATACTTTCTGAGGCTTCTTTCCCCAAAAAAGCAAAGACATAATTCATATAACAGACAGTGCATGCTTTAATACTAAAGTACATCTGCATTGTGACCTTTAACTGTTGCATAAAGATTTGTCATAATCACAGCATCCTGTAAGGATCTCTGGGAGCTGTGTGTAATTTCAATTTTCAAATGTCAGACTCTATTAAAAATGGGAGAAATGCAGAAACGCACTGATTTGTGCACTTTACAAAAGAGAAAATCAGAGGCTAATAAATATTAGCGCACGCCGGGGCAGAAATCAGAGTTTACTGGAAAGTGACCCCAACTGACAACTGTTACTGCAATTAAGTGAGCGTTAGTAAGGGCTAGGTTACGTTTTAGAGTTTGGTGGGTTTAGTTAGAGTGAATGGATTCGGGTTAATAAGGTGAAGTGAGTTATTGTTAGGTTGTACAAATGCAAACAAAAATTAAACGATCAAATTTGGTAAATTATATGTTAGAGTTTGGGGTTAGAGTCAAGATTGGGTTTGGGGGATAAGTAAGGTTTAAGTTAGAGTTTGGGTTAGTTGGGGTAATCTCTAGACCATAATTTATTGAAGATTTAATTTAGTAGATTTGATCTTCTATTCATTATATTTTCTATATGTTATTTTTCTACTTTTGGTAAAACTGATTAGAGAAACGTACAAGAATGAAGAGCTGAAGAATCCTCAGATGAAAACATCTTCAATAATCCAGCCCTGACCAGTGACCTACCTCTGAACTTCTTACCATTAGAACGGCAGTTAACTAAATAAAGGAAACCAGGACGAGTGTTGTGCGTATTACATTTTCTTTAGTACTTTACATATAACAGGAAAATACAAGGGTTGGTTTTCAGTAGAGAATACAGGAAATTGAAGAGTGCTCTGTACATGAACACGTTACAGTGTCTGGATTGTGATGGTGCGGGGTAGTGGGGGTGGTGGGGGTGACTTGGCACAGCCGACTGAGTCATGCACACCGTCCAGTTATCCATGAAAAGGACAAGGAAACAAGATCTGTCATCAACTCACCTGTTGTTAGAAGTTTCTATTAGCAGCTGAAATATATATAAAAAAAAATGTATTTCTGATATATTACCAAAAAACCCAAAACTCAAAATTTAGGAAGTAACAAAAGAGATTTAAAAAAAATAGGAATAAAAACATATTTACAGAGTGAGACTATATAAGTAAGGAACAAAACAACTGCTATTAGACACTTGGATTTGGACTGGACTGAAAACAGTGCTGCTGGATAAAGGTACTGAAGTCCAACTAAGAGTCAAGAAAAAACAAAACAGGAACTGATCTTTAAAACGGCTACATTTCTGTCATGACCATCAGGACTGGATTCAAAATGCTGACAATTTGAACCAAGTGGACTTTAGAGGAAGCAACAAGGGCCAGTAATTAACTTCAGCTTTCATGATGGGAGACACGGACACCTCAAATGTACAAGACGGCAGCTGAAACAACTAAACTCTGTTACAGTTTTTGTGCAGAACTTTTTTTTTTTTTTAAGTTTTATAAAAATATAAAAAGTATGTCATGTCATCTGATTATTTTAGTTAGCCAAAGACAGCATGAAAGGCAAACAGTGCAAAATAAAAAAATGAATAAAAAAAGGAAGCTAAAAGCTGCCACAACCAATTAACATATAATTAACCAAACACGGCATTGCTTTTGAATTAGATTGCTGGGTTAGTCACAGAAGAATGCTTAAAACAGTTGAACATAAATAGTAAAAATATACCACACACATCCTAGCCAATAAATTGCTTGGAATTGTAAAGTTTTAGTTCAACTGTAACTCAAACTTTGTGTAGTACAAGCTTAGATTTGGACAAAATATGGGAAAAATACCATTGAGTTTGAGCAGAAATAAAGAGACATTATTCAGAACTATAGATTAGAAAAAAGACTAAAGGTTAATTTCTGACCCATCCTGCTTCCTGTTAAAGCCATATAGTTAGGAGGTTATGATTTCATGTGGCCCACAGGTTGTGTACTGGACGTGGGCCACTGCATACCAGATGTAGTGTAACTGAGATGTGACCCACATCAGGGTGCTACATGTGGTTTAAAAATTACCAAATGTGGGCCACAATAGTTTTTAAGGGACCAAATTGTCACAAATGGACCATCTTTCGTTTTCGCCTCACCGGGGGCATTTTGCATGTACCTTTTGCAGCACCACTGTTTTCCACTCATACTTCTAAACCACACGGTGATGAAAAAACAACAGCATGACAACATGGAATGACCATGATTGTTCAAATGATGAGGGAAAATCAATCTGATCATCCTTGTTTCTGACCGTACAAAAACATTACTCCTCCAAAAAACAGACCCGGCTTCAACTGTAGAAGAGAATATAAAGGCTATTCCTGTCTCACCTTCAGGGTTCTGAGGCAAAGCAAATCCTCATGTTTGACAATCAGATGTGATACTAGGCGGTTAAAAAAGCAACACTTTTTTCAGGACCCGCCTCCTCACTCACTGTAAAATATTTAGCACATCAGCTCGGCAGCCTCCTGCTTGGACAACAGCAGTTTACACCTTGGGTGACTCTCGCTTTCTCTCGTTCATACGATTATATATATATACTGTATATACACAATACACTAGAGAGGAATGTGTGCGTGTAGGCCTGATAACATGGCATGCTTCTGTGGTGTGTATGAATGGTTAAATACCTACGGTACAAACATTTACATTTTTTTTTCTTTTTTGGGAAAGGAAAAAAAACAAAAACCAGAAAGGCTAATTGTGCCCCTAGATTGCCCTGCCATGCAGACTCTTGGAGGCTCATGCTGGAGATGAGTGGTGGTACTCAACGTCAGAGCTACACTCATTACGTTTACATGACGTAACTGAAAAGCCTAGAATTAAAGTATTTGCCATCAATCTTCTATGGCTTAATCTTTTCCAGAGTTGTGTTGGGCGCTGGAGCCAATCCCAGCAGTCATCATACAGGGAGTCCAGTTCACAGTATGGTCCGTTTGTAGAGAAAAAAATCCCAATAATGTTTTATTCTTTTAACTGACTGTGGAAGAAAAATGTAGTAGTACCTGGAGAAAACTGCAAACTGCATTCACAAAATACCAGCATCTACGGGGGTTGAACCAATGACCTTGTTGTTGTTAGTCAAGGGCACTGCATTCATCTCCATCATGTGGCACAAACTAATACATAAGCCTGCACTGAGGGTCGTAAACAAACATCGGTAAATAAAGGAAATCCAGTAGGAAAACATTCAAACACTGGTTCAGTTAGCCAGTGAACCATAACTCTAAGCCTGCACTTAACAAGACCCAACCAGTAGATGGCACATGCCTGTAGGGACCTGCAAAAGCTTGGTATAGAACTGGACATCCATTGTTCTGTCCATGTTCTTTTATGACCTTTCAGCAGTATTTGTCTTTGCCTAGTTTCCGTAATACCAGGATACCAAATATGCTATGGCCTAGTGTCACAACCAACATTTCCTCAGCCAATCGGTCGTCTGCCTCTGCCCACCAAGGACTTGAACGCTCTATGTAGAAAAACGAGTCATTCATGGATTTATGGGCCAAGCCCAACGCCCATGTTCTTGCAGAACCATTGGCAGCAATTAGTAGCCCACATAACTTCCCCAGTGAACACTCAGGGTAATAATCACTTTGTTCTCATGCTGCCAACATCAATTGGGCCGGTGGCAAAGTTGTTTTGGCCCAGTGACAGTTAATGCACTGCTTGCAGTTCAGCAGCGGTCCATATCTGTCCAAATTATATAAACCAGCAGGGAAAGCAAAACAAAGCAAGATGTACCAACAGGTCAACAAGACTCAACCCGCTCCAGCAGGACAACAGAGGACTTACAGTAATGAGACCAGGAGACCATGGACCAGGGCGTAACCCAACTAAAGATAACTCAGTTAAACTAACAGGTACCTCAACCCAAACATGCATGTAAACGTACCGACTGATTCAAGACAAAAAGTGAGGAACACAACAATCTGATAAAGTGAACTCTGACCATTTTTGATAAGGCATTTGATTGGATAGGGAACAGGACCAGAAGGGGGCAGGACTGAGTTGGCGGGCACTGCTTGTGGACGATGGGTGAAATGTGGACAAACGTTTGGAATGGGTACAAATCATGAGTGTGCTGCACCAAGAACAACAACAATGAAAGGGTTTTGCCAAAAAAAAAAGAACAACTTTTCTACTTTGGCAAAAACAAAAATTATTTTTTGTAACATAACTTTTTTCTTTTTAATTTCCCACAAGAATCTTTCAATGTTTTCTGTTATTGTTCATCAAAGGCCTCTTAGTTTGGCATAGCTACAGTAAAGAACTGCAGTGTGCCAGTGAGCCAAAGAGACGTCCAGAGCCAAACACCTGCCGAGCTCCACATGTCCATGTGAGGCTTTTCCTTAAATCAGATTTGCACATTTCCAAGGTGCAGTTCTCAATTGTGACGTATTTCCTGGAGCTAAAATTTACAGTATCATTCAGTGATCTATATCCTCCGGTTTAGTCTTTGGCTTCCTGTGTCCTCTTCCTACGTGAACATCATATGAACTCAACTAACTAAATGGGACCAACCTTGACCAAAACGAGAGTTTGCCTTTTAAGTTTGTGAAAAATCATTTCACACAGGTGAAAAAGAGGGAAAATAGAAAGGAGGGTGTCTTAAGAAAGCCAAGGCCGCCCAGCTCAGGCTATTTCTTTTATTCTGCGCATGTAGTCGTGTAGTTCCTCGGGGTCTTGAAAGCCCATATCCTGGCAAACCCACTGAATGTCCTCCTCGTCTGCGATGGGGATGGAGTTGTAGGGCAGCTCTTCTGTGGGCAGGGTGGTAAAAGTGGTAAACTTCACTCTCTTGCGCTTGGAGGTGGGTGAGCTTGCATCATCGCCATTCTCCTTTGTGGAGCCACCTGAGCTGCCATCTCCACGCCCGTGCACCTGGCTCTGCACACTGGTCTGGGAACTGCCACTGCTGTGGTGGTCTCCATGACAACAAGTCTGTACAGTCTCCAGAGGGTTACCGGGGCTTTCCATCTGCTGCGGGGACAGATCGCACTGAGCCCTCAGCGGCTCCCCGTTCCCCAGGAACACCCAGTGGGGTGAGTGGTCCATGTTGGCCTGACCCTCTGGGGGGATCCGCTTGTGACGGTACTTGAGCACAAAAACAATACAGTTAATGAGAAAGACCAAAATGGCCAAGCAGAAGACTCCCAGCAGAGCGTACATGCCAATCTCCAAGTCGGTCATGTTGCGACGTGAATGTACAAAGTCGTCATCTTCTTCTTCCTCTTCCGCATCGCTCTCAGTTGGCTGCTCTTGATTGCTTATTGTGGGAAAGTTGGTGTAATCAATGGGAACGCTGGCAGGCTGCTCGTTGGAAGTGTCGTAAACTCTTCCATTGTAGCTCGGATCAAGGTACGGACGCCTGGTGACAGGTATTAGCTCAATCTCGCCTTCAGTGGTCGCCTCCTCCTCTGAATCTTCCTCAGGGCCGAAGCGAACTTTGACAGACACCGCAGCAGAGGCGATGACGCTCTTGCGTTTGGTCTTCTGGCAGGCCTCACAGATTGTCATTTCTACTCGTACCAACTCTCCAGAGCCCTCGCCTTCTGCCACCACCACAGGCCAGCGTTGCTGAGGCTCCTGGGATATGGACACCACCTTGTCATCTAGCGTGGAGGCGTTGAAGTTGTAGTCTTTGGGGTCGTAATACATCAGTGTGGCCGCGGTGTTGTCGCTGAAAAGCATCCAAATGGAAAAAGTTGCTTCCTGTTGAAAAAAAAAATCACATAGAGAGTTGAGATCACGATGGATAGAGGGCAGTCTTCAACCTAATTTTGCTCTTTTTCAACTGCAGCATATGGAGACCTTTATTTGTTTTTGCTATATTTTACTTTGAACTATTATCAGACAATGTCTGTCTCTGTCTTAGCTGTGGCAAACTCTACCACATCTTACTAACTAATGTAACCTTTTTAAGGACAAACATTTTTTTGAACCTTTATACCTTTATGGTTAGTTTATACTATAAATTAATACAACATTTTTCTCAAGTCCATGTGAAATGCTTGTTTTCTCCATGAAAAACTTTACAGGTAAAGAAAAAAAACATATATACATATATTCTGCCTGTTAATAGTCCATGTCTTACCATCCACTTCAAGAGCAACAGATATAAAGTATTTTGTGTGAAACTGAATCGAACAGCCTGAAATGGCTGCACTTCTCCTCTGAGAGCTGCGTCCACACAGGAATTGCTCGGCGTTTATAGGCCCGGCCTTGGAGAGCACTTAGGACAATACATTACAATAATTAAATTTCAAGGTAGCCAAGAAGCAGAAAGCAGCAAAAATTGGAATTTAATGGCGGCTCTTCTCTGAGGGCTGATGTGGTTGTCGATGCATTTTTTAGCAGTGTGCAGTCCAGAGTGGAGCAGGAGACTGGTTCTCAGACACACTGTTGACTGACAGGTGAAGACAGCGAGAACCCAAATGAATTCCCGAAAAGTTTTCTGTGCAAAACGGGTTAACAAACAGTTGGGCTTTGTATAAAACAATTATTTATCAACTGTGTTGATAATTTTGTTCTACATCAAGGAAATCTTTGGCTGACCTTTAGCTGGCTTTTAGCCATTTTCTTTACCATTTGTTTTAAGAATTAGAATAATTCAAATCTATTACATTATAATTTAAGATTGATGCAAGAGAATATGCTAATATAATGATTATGTTATTTTAATAATAATTAATTAGCATGACATTATCTACTAATCATTCTTGGGTGAGTATTCAGCTAACCTCAAGCTATTTTGGGAAAACAACAGGTAAAACTAACTATAACAGGGTTACTATATATATATCTTACGTACATTCACGAAGCCTGAATATAACTTTTTTTTTTTTCTTTCTTGTGTACCTGTTTAGGCGCTGTGAGTGTCTGCAGACCAGTGGCTTTGGCCACCATGGTGTGACTGTTTCCTGGGCTGGGCTGCAGAGACAGAGTCAGACCTGAGACGGCATGGACTCGCATCTCTGTGATGGAAACTTTTTCATCTGTGACTGAGAAGGCCGACTCTCCAAGGACAGCTTCCACGGCCAGCGGAGACTCCACCTGCAGAGAAGACGGGGGAAACAAAACACACTTAGCACACACTATGGTTTTTATTCTGTCTGGCTGTGACAGAGGGACGCCATCATCCGAGTCTTCACCCACAGCTTTATTGTCTCTCTGCAGCTCATGAAGCCTGTGACGAGACAGTTTTGGATTAAAGTGCTGTGTGCTGGTGTTTGCTGCCGTCTGTCTACAGCCCACATGTCAATGTCTCTCCGTCCATCACAGTGCAAAACACACAAACATAAAGAAAACACTGTGGAGGAGGAATCAATAAGACGGCCGTCACAAAAAGGACAATCCACTCCTGTCAGTTTCACTTGCATCCCAGCAAGTGTCAGGGATTTAGAGATGGTCTGGACTCTCGCAGTAATCCAAGGATTTTTCCGACACAGTCACTTATTAAAAAAAACAACTTACAAAAATATATATACTTGTGTATCAATTTTATCACTGCAAAATATGCAAATATCTTCACTATAAGCTGATAATACATCAAATGTATCACATACAGCAGCATTGCCATGGCAACAGCATAATAAAAATATCTCCCCTGCAGCTCTGTAAAGTACACGTACAGTACATTTAATTTTGAATTATTGTCTCTCCACTTCAGGCTGCCGTCACTGCTGATTGTCACACCATAATGGTTCAAACTAAGGCGTTACTAAAATAAATACTTTTTCCGCCTCAGACTTCTTCATCAAAACTACAGTTTGTTCTGAGGAGATTTAGTCAGAGGTCAAGAGTGAGCTCTCACACACTTTGTCCATTTTTGTGGTCACAATAACCCTTGTCTTTTTCTGACACTGAAATGACTCTCCTACACATAATCTGTCAGTGAGTGCAGCTCCACCACCTCCACCAGAGCTGGGTGATGCTGGATAAAAGGATCATTTCAGCCACTATACTGTGCAAAGATGAGCCTGGCAAACATTTGTTAATTATTAGCATTCAATTACAGCCTCTCAGAAAAAAATATTTCAATGAATATTGGACTTTTGGAAGAGACAGTAAACGTCTTATTTTTTCTGTTCCAAACTCCATAGAGAAAATAATATTTTCATTGTTACATGACAAAGGGTTTGTTGATCCACTGCTATCTTTATGATGACTATTTAAAATTTTATGACTAGAATTTTTCTGTTGCCAACCCTTGTTAAACTAAATAAAAATGACACTAAGAACAACGAGAACAACCACGGAGGCCACTCAAGCTAAAAATGAAGATTTTTCTCTATGGGCTTTGGTTATGAGTCAACTTTAACAACTTCTCATTGACTATACAATAGCGATCCCTACATTAGACTTGAAGAATTGTGAGGATGACATTCAAATCCTTTATTTTGGAATCACCCAGAGTTACAAGACAATATTACTAAAAGAAAGCTACGAGCAAAGATTTAGGAAGATTTGTGCTAAAAATGATACATTTTAGCAATGGATTTTAGAATATGAACTAAAGTATGCTTTGTCAGGATCCTGGACACTCTTTTAAACCTTATGATGTTTTATTTTCATTCTCAGTTATTCCAGCCTGTCACTGAAACAGCTTCTCTTGTTATCATCCCTTTCCATTTCAGCCTCACAAAGCCCTCCCCCTCCTCCTCCCCTTTCAACCCCTCTTTTCCCCATTTTTACTGCCAGGGTGATGTTTGTTGCGACGTTGTATTAATTAGACGTCTCTGTGACTCTATGGCGTGGCACAGCTATAAGAAAGGTACAACGTTGTGTTTTAACGCCCTCTCAGCCTGCACTGGTTAATGGTGAGAAACAATTAAGTACAACCATTAGCTGCATGTAATGTTCGTCCTTCTGCGGCAGTTTCCCCCGCAGCACCCGCGCTTCTCTAACCTTGACATTTTGCTTTATATGTAGCACCGTGTGTGCAGCAATAAAGTCAGTGCAATCTTCCCAAGGTAAGAAAAAATCAGCAGTGAGAAAACATCAGGGAGCAAAGGCGCTTGTTTCCCTTGATATTGTTGAAAAATTGTTAGAAAAAAAAGTCACACAGAGACAAACCATTATTAATATGTACTAAAGTCACGTTCAAGCTCTTTCAACATTGACCCGTTGCTTTTCAAGTCCTCGTCTAGAAATTCACAGTTTTGTACCAACACATTGATTCCTTACATGGTTCAATACAAACACTTCTCAAGCATTCTGTGAAAATACAAGCCCTTTCAAGGACATGACTCCAACATTTCTCCGAGGTCAACTTGGTGTTTGACCAGTCATTTCCAGACAGACCGTTATTTACGAACGAATGTGCCAAGGTCAAATTCAAGCAATGTCAAAACTGCCTTATTGCTTTTCAAGCACCAATCTACTCTAGAAATTCACATTGTTATGCAAAATTGTGAGTCGTCAAACCATTTCCAAGCCTCTTGTCATTGTAATTAACAATTGCTCTATAGAAAAAGCAGCATTTTAAGCTATTTTAAAGGAACTAAAAATACAAGCCCTTTCAAGGTCCGTTTGTTGCCTTCGCACCACCTATGTGACATCAACAACAACGAGAACAACAACAACAACAATATAATCCCTAACATGGCTCAGTACGTATATAACACTTTGTAAGCACTAGTAAGCATTCTGCCAAATATTAAAGAACTTTTAAGATTTTTACTGACTATTCTTACCTATACAATCACATGTAAAATATATTGTTGTCCAAATAAATTCAACTTTTAGTTATTACAACTGCACTTTAGATATTTTGTTGAGACTTTCAGGGTCAAACATAGAATATCAGAATATCAAAACTGAACCATACGGACCTTTTTATACAAAAGAAAAGAAAATATTTGCATTAACTTTGGATACACACTTTTTTTTTACACTGGCAGCATTAATGTTACCAGATGTTTTTTAATCCAGATACAAGGAGGTGAAGGCCGTGTCATGGGCCAAGTCTACAGAAAAATCCCCAGCTGTGCATGAAGCCTCTGTAGAGGTCAGAGCAGTGAGTTCACCTCGGCCGCCAGGAAAAAGCGGAAGCATTGATTTTCTGTTTCTTCATGTTCCCTTTAGCCAACCGCTAAGATTTTTACAGGCCAATTAAAGTGTCTAAAAAGAAAACCGTACGCAATTGAAATCGATAACGGCCATTGTGTACAAATGTCAAAACACAGCGTACATTGATTGTATAAGCAGGAAAAAAGATGTAATCAGAAATTAATGTTGTTTGGGGTCACGACCCGAGTTGGAAATCTTTGATATTGTAGGAATTGGTTCCTCAGCGACTGATTTAAAAATACTATACATTTCATACCATTACACTTCACACCCACAGAATCAGAGTATTATAGGGGGTCGGGGAGAAGAGGTGAGGGAGGGGGCATCAATTAGAATTATAACATGAAATTATTTATGATACCCTTGAAAAAATATTCAGCTACCAGAAAGAGTTCTGGATTTTCTCACAGTGCATTCAAAGTCAAATCTGTACGTCTTTTATGCTCTTACATTTTTACAAGTTGAGGCCAAAAATAGCATTTGCAGCATTTGTTGAACACTCAGAGAGTTAATAATAAAAACTAATATCTGTGTTTGTTTAGATGACTGAATTCTAAATGATATAACAAAGTTCAGCAGAACTGAGCCACACAACACTCATCTTTTCATCATGTTGGCACTGAGGCAGTTTTCAAATTGTTAAAAAAATAAAAGACCGCCCCCTGTAGACAGAAGTTAAGCTTCAAAGACTGTTGTGTCACATTTGAAAGTGTAAAAAACCCCAGAGTCTGATTTTCGCTGTTACCAATTTCTGAAATATTCCAGGGAGTATTGACTGATGAAGCGCAGTAATTTTCGGATTGTGTTTTTTTTTTTCTTTTTTACTGTGATCGAGTCATTTACTTTCACCGCCGTTACTGATTTCCCAAATGTGCCAAGATGGCTTTGGAAAACCCCAGAGAACTTTTTGAAACAGGGTGAATCCAGTCTGTTCAGCTATTAGAGAAGTGACTTGATGGGGGAAAAAAAAACCTTTAAACCCTGCATTTTCATTCCAGATGGACCCCACAGATTTTTGTACAAATGGCTTAATGATTTTGTGTTTAAAATCCTACTTTAAAAATCAGACATTGCCTGTGTTTTGACCACATTAACACAACTCATACAGTAGAGGTGTCATGTACATGTCATGTTCCATGTTATGTTTTTTATTATTATTGCAGTTTAGAATTAAATTCATTAAGACCTCAGTGCAAATACCATTTAAATTCAAAGTTCTAATGCTACACCATATTTACTCACTCTGTTTCATAACAAAAAGTGCATTTGTTTTTTTTTAAAGCCACTCATTTGTTTATATCAATAAAAATATTAATTGACAATAAAGTTAAGGTTAAATCGATCAAAATGAAAAACTATTTCTTTTTTTTATTTCCTCATATGGTCTATGATAACTTTACAGAAGGCTAAGTACTCTTTTTATTTTGTTCATATAAATAAGACCAGAACCATTTTTACAACCTCAAGTTTTTCCCAGCTAACGTATTTATACTCCATTAAAACAATTTATATGAGTGCTGCTACAGCAGTACCAGTTTTTATTAACCTTTCTTAACCCTAGGTTAAATATAAAGTCATTTTTTGACTTTTCCTCTCTACTGAACAGTATATGGTCTACGATAATTCACTAAAAGACAGGACAGACCCTGGGGCACAGAAATGACTACAGCTGTTCAGACCAATTTTTTATTCTTGGATCGCTGGGATCATGAATCATGAATGTGTGCCATGTTTGTCATAGTTTTTCCCAGCTAACGTATTTATACTCCATTAAAAACCACTAGGCCACCACTTCTACAGCAGTACCAGTTTTTATTAACCTTTCTTAACCCTAGGTTAAATATAAAGTCATTTTTTGACTTTTCCTCTCTACTGAACAGTATATGGTCTACGATAATTCACTAAAAGACAGGACAGACCCTGGGGCACAGAAATGACTACAGCTGTTCAGACCAATTTTTTATTCTTGGATCGCTGGGATC